AAAAAAAATCCTTAAATTTCACCTTTCCTCAGAGAGCTTATGTTGGCATATATGGTGAAGAGTGTTGTCTCTCAATTTATCTTCGCAATCATAATCTTCTGAGGCTGGATCAAGAGACGGTGACTGGCCCACAGACACTCAATGAACCTCCTAGTCAAATGGGTATTTAACCTGAGCCTCCTTAATCCCAGTCTTACATAATTCTTTTAATCAATAAACTTGGAAGCTTTGTTATGTGTGCATGCACATGTATACATGCATACCCACATAAGTAAGAATGAATTAAATATATTTTGAGAAATTGCAGGAACAAGTCAATTTTTTTTATCAAAGTAACATTCATTCTTTAAAAGAGTCAAGATTTAATTCAAATTCTTTTTTCTGTTCCAGTTCTGTCATTCTGAAAAGGACAAACCTAAGTGAAAATAGGGGCAATGTTGATGCAACTCAGGATTTGAGATCCAGATCCTGAACCACTGTATCTTATATCCTTCATCCCAAAAGCAAGAAAAATCAAGAGTTTTTAAGTAAAAGCATAATGACCAATTTTGGCCCTTAAGCTACCCCCTCTCCAAAACAAACAAACTAAAAGTTATCCCCATCAATTCTGGGAGGCTGCATATGCAGAGCTGATAGGCTTCATGTAGTTCACAGATTTCCCATTTTTGTCCTAAGTTTTTAATAATCTACTTTCAATGTATTTACACCAGCTCTATTAAATGGATTAAACAGCATATTAGTGAGACTGGCTATAAAAATTCAATACATTAATAAAAATCAGAAGAAAATATTAACAAGCAGTAGTGTACCTGAAGATCAATATAGTCTTGCAGTATGGAGAACCAAGATTTTTTGATAGAAGTTAAACCATCACTGAAAGCTTCTTTGGGTCTCCAAAGTATTTCTTTAGGCAATAAGTTAGTATCTTCAAAGGCTTCCCTTAAGAGGTGCTTTTCAATTCCATTCTGTGAAGAGATAACATGATCAAAAATATATATAAAAAATACATTCCAAAGCAATAAATACTTCAGAAATTCCAAAAATTATTTCAGAAGCAGATCAGCAAGACCATCCCATATTCAGGATAGTTTTTAAGAAACCATCAACTTCAAAGTCTATGGTGTGATTTCTTGACTCAGAATTTAGGTTGAATGCTAAATCTGTCACTTCAGTTAAGACCCATTTAAATAAATTGTATCTGCAATGAGTCTACTGATGATCACAACCCAAGGCTGAAAATCACAAGCATATACAAGTAAGAAAGCTTCAGAGAATAATCAGTGAAACTGAGATGCACAATATAACCTGCCTATGGTTATGCTGTTAATTTCCTAGTTTGGCTAGCAGTAATGACTAGCTTACCTTTGGGGTTCTGAATTCTGCTGGCAAAGAAAGGTAATAAGCAGTAAACTGGTGATCCAAAAATGGAACTCTTAGTTCAAGACTGAAAACAGAAACAAATATTATTTGTGTATAAAATAAGCATATAAATGTGGATTGGAAGAAGGCACTTGGTGCAAGTTATAACTAACGTACTAAGCCATGATTAAATCATGATTGATTAAAAACCACCATCTAGTTTGCCTTGCAACACTAAGCTATAATTAGGGAATTCATACACCACACTACACCAAAAATAACCCAAACACATTATAGCTTACTATGATAACTGGCATGTTCCAGGTTCCTTCAACTGAACAATGCCATCTGTTGGGACCTCAGAAGGGTTCCTTCACTGTAGCAGTGTCTGCCCTCTGGAATGAGGTTACCCTGAGATCCAGGTGGCCCCCACCCTGCTGGTGTTTCAGAGGGCCTTGAAGACCTGGCTCTTTCCCCAGGTATTTTGCAAAGGTGACTGAAGCCCCCTTCTGAGTAATGTGGGGGCTTCTGATCAGTTTATGTTCCAATTCCAAAGAAGGGCAATGCCAAAGAATGCTCAAACTATCGCAC